ACCGCACAGACAGACACATACATACACGTACGCGCACAGAGACGTACCGCACAGACAGACACATACATACACGTACGCGCACAGAGACGTACCGCACAGACAGACATACATACACGTACGCGCACAGAGACGTACCGCACAGACAGACACATACATACACGTACGCGCACAGAGACGTACCGCACAGACAGACACATACATACACGTACGCGCACAGAGACGTACCGCACAGACAGACACATACATACACGTACCGCACAGAGACGTACTCACGCGCACAGACACATACATACACGTACGCGCACAGAGACGTACCGCACAGACAGACACATACATACACGTACGTGCACAGAGACGTACCACACAGACAGACACATATACATACACGTACGCGCACAGAGACGTACAACAGTACCGCACAGACACATACATACATGTACGTGCACAGAGACATACATACATGTACGCGCACAGAGACGTACCACACAACAGACACATATACATACAGTACGTGCACAGAGACATGTACATACATGTACGCGCACAGAGACATGTACAGACACGTGACGCACAGAGACAGTACATACACGTACGCGCACAGAGACGTACGACACAGACAGACACATACATACACGTACGCGCACAGAGACGTACCCACAGACGCACACATACACGTACGCGCACAGAGACATGTACATACACGTACGCGCACAGAGACGTACCGCACAGACAGACACATACATACACGTACGCGCACAGAGACGTACCGCACAGACAGACACATACATACACGTACGCGCACAGAGACGTACCGCACAGACAGACACATACATACACGTACGCGCACAGAGACATGTACATACATGTACGCGCACAGAGACGTACCACACAGACAGACACATATACATACACGTACGTGCACAGAGACATGTACATACATGTACGCGCACAGAGACATGTACATACACGTACGCGCACAGAGACGTACCGCACAGACAGACACATACATACACGTACGCGCACAGAGACGTACCGCACAGACAGACACATACATACACGTACGTGCACAGAGACGTACCGCACAGACAGACACATATACATACACGTACGCGCACAGAGACGTACCACACAGACAGACGCATACATACACGTACGCGCACAGAGACGTACCACACAGACAGACACATATACATACACGTACGCGCACAGAGACATGTACATACATGTACGCGCACAGAGACATGTACATACATGTACGTGCACAGAGACGTACCACACAGACAGACACATATACATACACGTACGTGCACAGAGACATGTACATACATGTACGTGCACAGAGACGTACCACACAGACAGACACATATACATACACGTACGTGCACAGAGACATGTACATACACGTACGCGCACAGAGACGTACCACACAGACAGACACATACATACACGTACGCGCACAGAGACGTACCGCACAGACAGACACATACATACACGTACGCGCACAGAGACGTACCGCACAGACAGACACATACATACACGTACGCGCACAGAGACGTACCACACAGACAGACACATATACATACACGTACGCGCACAGAGACGTACCGCACAGACAGACACATACATACACGTACGCGCACAGAGACGTACCGCACAGACAGACACATACATACATGTACGCGCACAGAGACGTACCGCACAGACAGACACATATACATACACGTACACGCACAGAGACGTACCGCACAGACAGACACATACATACACGTACGCGCACAGAGACGTACCGCACAGACAGACACATACATACATGTACGCGCACAGAGACGTACCGCACAGACAGACACATACATACACGTACGCGCACAGAGACGTACCGCACAGACAGACACATACATACACGTACGCGCACAGAGACGTACCGCACAGACAGACACATACATACACGTACGTGCACAGAGACGTACCGCACAGACAGACACATATACATACACGTACGCGCACAGAGACGTACCACACAGACAGACGCATACATACACGTACGCGCACAGAGACATGTACAAACATGTACGCGCACAGAGAGATGTACATACATGTACGTGCACAGAGACGTACCACACAGACAGACACATATACATACACGTACGTGCACAGAGACAGAGTACGTGCACAGAGACGTACCGCACAGACAGACACATACATACATGTACGTGCACAGACACATATACATACACGTACGCGCACAGAGACGTACCGCACAGACAGACACATACATACACGTACGCGCACAGAGACGTACCACACAGACAGACACATACATACACGTACGCGCACAGAGACGTACCACACAGACAGACACATATACATACACGTACGTGCACAGAGACATATACATACACGTACGCGCACAGAGACGTACCACACAGACAGACACATACATACACGTACGCGCACAGAGACGTACCACACAGACAGACACATATACATACACGTACGTGCACAGAGACATGTACATACATGTACGTGCACAGAGACTTACCACACAGACAGACACATATACATACACGTACGCGCACAGAGAAATGTACAAACATGTACGCGCACAGAGACATGTACATACATGTACGTGCACAGAGACATGTACATACATGTACGTGCACAGAGACGTACCACACAGACAGACACATATACATACACGTACGTGCACAGAGACATGTACATACATGTACGCGCACAGAGACATGTACGTACACGTACGCGCACAGAGACGTACCGCACAGACAGACACATACATACTCGTACGTGCACAGAGACATGTACATACATGTACGCGCACAGAGACGTACCGCACAGACAGACACATACATACACGTACGCGCACAGAGACGTACCGCACAGACAGACACATACATACACGTACGCGCACAGAGACGTACCGCACAGACAGACACATACATACACGTACGCGCACAGAGACGTACCGCACAGACAGACACATACATACATGTACGTGCACAGAGACGTACCGCACAGACAGACACATACATACACGTACGTGCACAGAGACGTACCGCACAGACAGACACATACATACACGTACGTGCACAGAGACGTACCACACAGACAGACACATACATACACGTACGCGCACAGAGACGTACCGCACAGACAGACACATACATACACGTACGTGCACAGAGACGTACCGCACAGACAGACACATACATACACGTACGTGCACAGAGACGTACCACACAGACAGACACATACATACACGTACGCGCACAGAGACGTACCGCACAGACAGAACCTAAGTTGTTGCATAACCCATGTTCTAGCTCACAGCGTTCTAACACACCAGCGTCACTGGCTTCAGTGAACAAATGCGTGGAACAAATGTCCGCAGGCTCCAGCTAGTTACAGTGGGGCAAAAAAATATTTAGTCAGCCACCAATTGTGCAAGTTCTCCCACTTAAAATAATGACAGAGGTCTGTAATTTTCATCATAGGTTCACTTCAACTGTGAGAGACAGAATGTGAAAACAAAATCCAGGAAATCGCATTGTAGGATTTTCAAAAGAATTTATTTGTAAATTATGGTGGAAAATAAGTATTTGGTCAATAGCAAAAATTCAACTCAATATTTTGTAATATAACCTTTGTTGGCAATAACAGAGGTCAAACAATTACTATAGGTTTTTACCAGGTTTGCACACACAGTAGCTGGTATTTTGGCCCATTCCTCCATGCAGATCTTCTCGAGAGCAGTGATGTTTTGGGGACTTTCAACTCCCTCCACAGATGTTCACTGGGGTTGAGGTCTGGAGACTGGCGAGGCCACTCCAGGACTTTCAAATGCTTCTTACGGAGCCACTCCAGGACTTTCAAATGCTTCTTACGGAGCCACTCCTTCGTTGCCCGGGCGGTGTGTTTGGGATCATTGTCATGCTGGAAGACCCAGCCACGTTTCATCTTCAAAGCTCTCACTGATGGAAGGAGGTTTTGGCTCAAAATCTCACGATACATGGCCCCATTCATTCTTTCCTTAACACGGATCAGTCGTCCTGTCCCCTTAGCAGAAAAACAGCCCCAAAGCATGATGTTTCCACCCCCATGCTTCACAGTAGGTATGGTGTTCTTGGGATGCAACTCAGTATTCTTCTTCCTCCAAACACGACGAGTTGAGTTTATACCAAACAGTTCTACTTTGGTTTCATCTGACCACATGACATTCTCCCAATCCTCTGCTGTATCATCCATGTGCTCTCTGGCAAACTTCAGACGGGCCTGGACATGCACTGGCTTCAGCAGGGGGACACGTCTGGCACTGCAGGATCTGATTCCCTGTCGTCGTAGTGTGTTACTGATGGTAACCTTTGTTACTTTGGTCCCAGCTCTCTGCAGGTCATTCACCAGGTCCCCCCGTGTGGTTCTGGGATTTTTGATCACCGTTCTCATCATCATTTTGACCCCACGGGATGAGATCTTGCGTGGAGCCCCAGATCGAGGGAGATTATCAGTGGTCTTGTATGTCTTCCATTTTCTGATAATTGCTCCCACAGTTGATTTGTTCACACCAAGCTGCTTGCCTATTGTAGATTCACTCTTCCCAGTCTGGTGCAGGTCTACAATTCTTTTCCTGGTGTCCTTCGACAACTCTTGGCCATAGTGGAGTTTGGAGTCTGACTGTTTGAGGCTGTGGACAGGTGTCTTTTATACAGATGTGTTCAAACAGGTGCCATTAATACAGGTAACAAGTGGAGGACAGAAGAGCTTCTTAAAGAAGAAGTTACAGGTATTTGAGATCCAGAGAACTTCCACAATGTCTTCTACAATGTGAATTCCTGGAATTTTTTTCACATTCGGTCTCTCACAGTTGAAGTGAACCTATGATGAACATTACAGACCTCTGTCATTATTTTAAGTGGGAGAACTTGCACAATGTGGCTGACTAAATACTTTTTGCCCCACTGTACATGCAGTGTATGTAAGGTGTGCGCTCACTTATTGATGTCTTCTTGTGTCTTCTTGATAGCCTCGATGGAGTTCTGCAGCTCGCTCAGGTCAGCACCCCTCGTCCTCACTCTGCTGCTGTGTTTGCTTTGGTGGCCTGAGGCACACACATTACACAGTGAATGTATGGTACTTTTGACCCTTAAAAATAAGCTTGAGAATATCTACTTTAACAACGAACATGTTTTGGTTTGTATGACTGTATACAAATCACAAAAGGATATATGGATAAGCATGTACAATGTCAAAATAAAGGATGTATAGTGGCAAAACCTTTCCATTACTTTACTTTGTAACATCAAATGGTGAAGTCAAAGGGATTGCTAATACTCAGAAAACCACTGTGAGGATCATGGAGGGAGGTAAACTGCAGGTCAGTGACAATGAGGAACTGTGTTGGAGCATGTTCCTCTTGTTCCTTGCACTAGTTCTTATGAAACATTGACATGGGATTATCCATTATCTCAAGGGATCTTCTGGGCAAAAATAAACACGAACATTGATGATCAGAAAACCTATGTCTAGGTACATGTGTCTAAGTATATAAGCCTAGGGACCCCGAAATATGTATGGAAAAACAGCTAAATAGTTTAAAGCTGGGGTATCATTTGCATACCTGTGAGAAAGATTTTGTGAGTCACTATTTGACTCTTTGGGCTGAGAGCTGATTGGCTAAGTGAGAGTGGTGCTCTCTTTTTCATCTATGTACTTTTTCAATGAAGTGAAAACAAGTGATTGTAGTGAACTAGTGGTATCAGATAGATAGAAGTTACGCCTTACGCTCGCTGCCGGAGGAGTCGTGGTGGTCCGGTTCCGGGGAAGAACAGCCGCTCTCTGGACTTTTGGACTGGTCACTTTTGTGTTTCCTCTTTGGCACAGTCACCTACAGCGGTCAGAACACACAGGATGCACAGCAGTCAGAGCCTTCACCATGAACTGGACGTGCAGAGCTGCCTGCCACAGTGCACACCCACAGGCAGAACGATAGACGTGAGACCCAGAAAACACACTCAAGAATTCATACACAATCTTTTTGATAATCATGGCACAACATGTCAGTTTACTCCTATGCCATATCTATTTGTTCCAGGTCCATCTTTCTATTCCACAACAACATTTTATGAGAATATTTTGGTGCCAAAATTCAACTTCTGACTGTACCTCAGTTTCACACCAGTAGATGGAGATACACAAACACACATAAACATGATTTAAAGAAAATCTATCTTTCCCTCAAAGCGAGAATACTAATTATTTTCTTCTGTGCACCACACGTTTACACGCATTGACCTGTTTCTTGTCAATAATCAATTTCTATCATTGATATCTCTGTGTAGATATGATGCCATTGTTCTTTCTGACCATGCTCCTCTTTTGATGGATATAAAACTGAGAGCCATACACCAGCGGCCCCTTTGGCGCCTCAATGTACGGCTACTTGTAAACTATAATTTTACTAACTTTGTTTCAAATCAGATTATTTCTCGACTACCAACAGAACGTCAGGAATGTCTTCCACGTTGCTCTGGGAGTCCCTTAAGGCTTATATTAGAGGGGAGATGATTTCCTATTTACATTATGAGAACAAAATAAGAGATGAAAAATATTGTTGTATGAGGCAGCGAATTTTGCAGCTAGATACCATACATGCAGCTTTGCCTTCACCAAACGTCTCGCTCTCAATTTGAATGTGACATACTAATGACCTCGCACACAACAGAACTTATGCTTCAGGCTAATACACCATTTTTTGAACCTGGTGATAAAGCCATTAAACTGCTGGCTCATCAGATCCGTCAGGTCTCCGCCTCCCATCAAACAGCTAAGATTCAAACCAGTCAAGGGGCAACTACAGATCCCTCAAAAATTCATCAGACTTTAGAAGCCTTTTATCAGTCTTAATACTCGTCTGAGATTAAGCCTACAGATGAGGACTTTTTTTTCACAGCTTCAAATACCTACCATGAGTAGTAAAATAAATTTCAAACATTACAAACAAAAGGAGCAGGGTAGTGATGGCTTCGTGACTGTTCGAGGGGGCGATGTGTTGATAGTTTCCCCATTAGACCTTCCCTGGGGCCAGGCTTGGTGATATTGAAGGGAATCTAAGGCTCATGATGACCCACTAGCAGCGTTTTTGCCGAAATTGTTATTCACACGGGTGGCAATGACCCGTGTGAATAACAGTCCGAGGTGTTGAAGCTGCAAGTCGCCGCGGTGTCCGAACTGGCTAGCACAATGGCCGACACTGTCATCTTCTCTGGGCCCCTACCTAGCACTAGCAGTGCAGAAGCATTCAGCAGACACTCGGCTTTCAACCGCTGGCTGTCTGGCTGGTGCCCTCCAAGTGGTGTTGCTCATGTTGACAATTGGAGTGCCTTTTGGGGAAAGCCCGGTCTCATCCGCTCGGATGATATCCACCCAACGTTGGCGGGTACATCCCTTTTGGCTAAGAATTTGGCCCTGGCTCTAAACTGTTCTGCCCGGCTCAAATGACGATGCAGAACTGAGGCCCGGGTGCAGAGCTGCTCTGCCACAACCTCTGAGCCCCCATCTGTTCAGTTACTAGCCTCAGAAGCTAGTCAGATTGAAACTGTGTGTGCATGTGTGTGTGTGCCTGTGTGTGCTCAGTTACTAGCCTCAGAGGCTAGTCAGATTGAAACTGTGTGTGCATGTGTGTGTGTGCCTGTGTGTGCTCAGTTACTAGCCTCAGAACCTAGTCAGATTGAAACTGTGTGTGCATGTGTGTGTGTGCCTGTGTGTGCTCAGTTACTAGCCTCAGAACCTAGTCAGATTGAAACTGTGTGTGTTCCTTGCTTGAAGTCTAAAGCACTATATGAGGAAATCTGACCTGGGTGTCAGACACAGTAACTTAATAAAAGTTCAGACAGAAATAGTTCTAACAGTAGGGTTGTTAAATGTGGTTTAATGAACGTCAGATCAATCTCGTCTAAATCGCTTCTCATAAACGAACTTATTATAGACAAGGGCTTGGATCTGTTTGCGCTCTCGGAGACTTGGCTCCAACAGGACGACTACGTTAGATTGAATGAGTGCACTCCTCCGACGCATGTTAATTACCAGAAAGCCAGAACTACAAGTCGCGGCGGTGGTGTTGCGATTATATCACACACCAACTTGGTTCTTAGTCCCAAAACCAACAACGCTTTTCACTGGTTTGAAAACTTAACACTTTCAATCACCTGTCCTGGGTGGAGAAAACAAAAAGCGGTGTTATTTATAGTTTTATACCGACCTCCTGGTCCTTACAGCGAGTTCCTAACTGAATTCTCTGACTTCATTTCAAACCTAGTTTTGGAATGGGAAAACATAGTTATAACTGGAGACTTCAATATACATGTGGACGACAGCACTGACAGCTTAAACAAAGCTTTCAGCGCCGTACTAGATGGTGTTGGTTTTACTCAGAATGTCGAGGAACCTACTCACATTCATAACCACACCTTGGACCTTGTCCTGACCATAGACTGTAAAAATTAACGAACAGAGTCACGCCTATCTCCGTCGTTCTAACCAATGGGCCAAAAATAGTGCTCTACTGGAGCTATCCAAAATGGCCGCGAGTGGTCCCGCCCACAAGAAAATTGTGAAAAATGCATCTGCGCATGCGTCAGCCGGCGCAGCTCCATTCATTTGAACAAGAGACTTCAAAAATTCACAGCAAGTAAACTATAGTGGTCCAAAAAAATTCCCCCCCCTCAGCATTGACACACATGTGGAACGGAGCTTTGGGCCAAGAGCCAGGACCATCCTGTAAAGACGTTTTGGAGAGGTCTGCCAATGCTATATGTTAGCATTGGCTAATCCTTCTTCTGGGTCCACCCCCATCGGCCCGGGGTGGTATTGCAGCATGTCAGCGCACGTCATTATGGCCACTTTTGAGCCGGGACCCGCCCCTCTGGTCCTTACCTACGGTAGTGATGTTTCCAATATTGATTTCCTGCATCAAAGCTCGTTGCTGTCTGATCATTTCAGGTTTGATCTCGATTTGGAGGACTTTCCTGCGCCGCAAAATAAAACCATAATGAAAAGAACCTTAAATGATAAATCTATCACAAGGTTCAAAGAACTAATACAGCCTATGTTGAATACTGCTGCAGGTGAACCTGTTCACAGCAGCTGCAGTCCCTCAGTCATTGACCAAACGGTGGGCAACACTATGGAGTCTTTCAAATCTGCATTAAATGCAGCAGCTCCTTTAAAACAGAAAACTATTAGGATTAGATCATCGTCGTCATGGTACAATATTCAACTGCATACTTTAAAACTGGGGCTGTCAAACGATACACATTTTCGTTGTTGATTAATTGCATAGTAATGATGAGTTAACTCACGATTAATCGCATCTTTAACATTCTATTTCAAATCCACTCCAATTGAAGTCAAAATAGATTATCAAATGTAATGACACATTGTCATTCATACCAAATGTACTTAAATCTGTTTGATTTGCTCACAACCTTTTACTTTTGGGCAAAACCAAAATGAGCTGAAAGGGGAAAATGTACGTACCCCAGCTTTAATTTAGCGAGTTTAGTTTTCAGGAGGAGACACGGTATTTGCGTGCACAGGTTACGCACGGGTTGCAAAGACACAAACACAACATGCATATAAGATAATCCAAAAGATAATCACTAGTCTGAGCTCCTCCACATGCAGTCTGTTACCTTCACTCACACAGATAGTAAACATGTCCCTTCATTCTGGAATATTCCCAAAGGCCCTGAAAACTGCAGTCATCAGGCCCCTGCTAAAAAAGAGCAGTCTGGATGCTACGGTACTTAACAACTATCGTCCCATCTCAAATCTGCCATTTATGGGGAAAGTCCTTGAGAAAGTTGTCTACCTACAGTTTACTAGATTTCTTATAATCAACAATTCAACAAGTCTCAATCCTAATCCTGTTCTGATCTAAATGCAGCTTTTGACACTGTTGACCATGAGATCCTCTTACAGAGACTAGAGGACTGGGTTGGAGTCGCTGGCACCGCCCTAAGTTGGTTTAGGTCTTACCTTGAAGACAGGAAGTACTTTGTGGAGATTGGAAACTGTGTCTCAGATCATATGGCCCTGACCTGTGGAGTACCACAGGGGTCGATCCTGGGACCTCTTCTGTTCATTCTCTACATGCTGCCGTTAGGTCAGTTAATACGCAGAAACAAAGTGTCCTTTCATAACTATGCAGACGACACTCAGATCTATGTCTCACTGACTGCAGGAGAACATGGACCAGTGGACTCACTCCTTCACTGTATCCAACAGATCAGTGAGTGGATGCAAAACAACTTCCTTCAGCTAAACACAGACAAAACTGAAATGATTGTCTTTGGTCCCCAGAAACAAAGAGAGAGCGTCATCTGTCACCTACAGTCTCTCTCCCTAAAACCTTCAAACAAGGTCAGAAATCTAGGGGTAATACTGGACTCAGACTTAAATTTTAATAGCCACATCAAATCAGTAACATCAGCAGCTTTTTACCATCTAAAAAACATTGCCAGGATCAAAAACATAGTGTCTAAAGCAGACCTGGAGATTCTTATCCATGCACTTGTCTCCAGTAGGTTAGACTACTGCAATGGCCTGCTCACAGGTCTGTCCAAACAGGCTGTAAAACAGCTGCAGTACATTCAAAATGCAGCAGCTCGAGTCCTGACTAGAACCAGGAAGTACGACCACATTAGTCCTGACTAGAACCAGGAAGTACGACCACATTAGTCCTGACTAGAACCAGGAAGTACGACCACATTAGTCCTGACTAGAACCAGGAAGTACGACCACATTAGTCCTGACTAGAACCAGGAAGTACGACCATATTAGTCCAGTTCTCAGGTCTCTGCACTGGCTTCCTGTGGCTCAGAGAATAGACTTTAAAACAGCTCTGCTTGTGTACAAGTCTCTCCATTAGTGACATGTTAGTCCCATATGAACCGGCCCAAACTCTGAGGAGCACAGGGACTGGACTCCTGTTAGTGCCCAGAGTCAGAACTAAACATGGGGAGGCTGCTTTTCAGATTCATGCTGCTAAAATCTGGAACAATCTTCCTGAAAATGAGACAGGCCTCCTCTCTGACAATGTTTAAAACCAGGTTAAAAACAGTTTTGTTTAGCTGTGTATACAACTGAGGGATTTTATATTTGTCTCTTTCTTTTTAATGTACTGTGATTATTTATGATTTTAATGCTATCTTATTCTGTCTTTGAGTTGCCTTGTTAGTGCTTTGCTCTCCAAAGTGAGTGGCCTCCAGACGCAGCACCCTCAGGCCTTGTTTTTAATCACATGAACCCAGTCACTGCCCTCTCACTATTGACACAGTTGTCACCTGCCCTATAAGAGTAGACAAAACACTAAACTTGTTTTTTAGTCATGCTAAAGAAGCCCCTTCATCATTGCCCCTCCTCACGTTAGGCAGAGCGGACCACAACATAATTTATCTCCGGCCTGCGTACAAACCACTCATGCACATGCAGCCCGTGGTGAGGTGCATGCTATGAACATGGAACACAGACACTGCGGAGACCTTCCAAGACTACAAGGCACGATACTATGGGAAGAGTCAACCATAATTCCTGTTCCAAAAACATTTCCTGTGACATGCTTCAATGATATTCCTCCTGTGGCCCTCAAGTCTGTTCTCATGAAGACCATTGAGCGGCTCTTTTTGGACTTCACTAAGAGCCAGTTTGCTTGCAGACAGAAGTGGGGAGTGGTTGGAATAGTCCATATGCAGGGTGAGAGGGGTTGGCAGTGATACGACCAGTCCCCCCACTGAATCTGGCTCGGTGTGTGCTGCAGTGCTCCATTTTTCCACAAAGGGCGCGTAACAGAAATCAGGCATGCAACATTGTACACGAGCCGCTGAGTGAGCCTGTTGTTAAATATCCAGGTACTGCCGGTTTTGACTTGTGGACCCTACTTAAGGGAAATAGACTGGCCCCCTGACAAAGCAGGACCTGGGAGAAGTTCTAATTCTGGGTTTGTGCATGGACCTGCGTGAATACCACAATAATGTCATCAGAGGCCTTTCTGAGACAACTCTACAAACATGCTCTAATGAGACACAACTGGAGTTGCAAATCACAGCAAGCAAAAAGAGATGGACGCACACATGATGCAGAGGCCATAGAGCCGATGATCAGAGGCCGTGGAGCAACAAACACTCTCACATGATGCAGAGGCCGTGGATTTGCACGCATACGCAAGTATGATGGAGAGACTGTGGGGTCGCACACACATTCACATGATTCAGCGGCCGTGGAGTCGCACACATGCTTACATGATGGAGAGACCGAGGAGTCGCAGCAGTATTTACCTGGCACTTGCAATTGTCCCTGCGCGTCGCCGGGTTACTCAGACTAATAAGACTGCCTGAACGTACCATGGGCGTCTGGTGGCGCACTTTGGTTTGAATGCATCCATCTTTTTCAAACTGGATCAGGTCGTTCAGAGGGTCCCACGGTCGTGTGCTGCACACAGGGGAGATGTGGAGGAAGGGGATCAGACAAAAATAGGGTTCAGAGAAAAGTGACAAAAGAGCGCCATAGCAGGAGGGCACATGTAAAGCTGCAACAGCACATGACGAAAGCTCAAACTTACAGTTCATTTAAATGTATTTATATAGCGCTCATTCACAACAGCAGTTTCCTCAGATGAGGCCAATAACAGATTGGAGAATGAAACAATTAGAACATAAAAAACAATAATAAAACACAAAGGGTAGAGGAAATATTTGTAAATGTTCATAAATGTCCTGGATCCTTTGTTTCCTAAATATTCCTAAAACTTTTAATAGAACAATACTTTTGTTTCATCCAGCGAGTTGTTTTTCTTGAGTTGCTTCACTTGGCTACTTACAGTATGAGGGAGAATAGGGGAAATCCTAGCGAGAACCCTATTTTGTATGAATGGTCTACAATAAAAATCATGAGGTAGTAAAAAAAAAATAACCTTACAACCCGGGTGAAGAGATATGACTTTTAGTGATCACAGAAAGTAATTGTCCAGTTCTATTTCATCCCTTCAGACCGCCAAAGGGCGGTGCATAGCACTGAATGTTCCCTTCGCGCATGCGCTGTTCGAGTAATAATACCAAATGAGTCACACCTGTGACCCCCTGGGTGACACACCGGAGGTAATAAAGTCCAGCGTCATCCAGCACTCTGTTCCTTTTTTCTTCTCGCGTGCGGTTCGAATCGTTGCTGCTTGAACTTCGTCAACGTCTGTCGCTGAAAGCCCTCTTCATCGGAGCTGCGGTTTGCCCTCCGTGGGGCGCGACGGTGACGTTGTCCTTCGGGTATTTATTGGTGTTTTCTGTACTATATGCGTGTGTATTGGTTGGTGTGAAGGCTGCTGTGGCGCCCTCTCCTCCGTCAGTACTTTCTTTTGGTACATGCAGGCTGTGGTTCGTTGGCCTGCTCCTCCGCCTGTGCATGTTTGAGTTAGCTTTTCAGAGCTGCCACAGACAGCTTGGATGAATATACGGACACTGTGACGTCATACATCCACTTCTGTGAGGATAGCATCATTCCAACAAGGACCAGGGTCATCTATAACAACGACAAACCCTGGTTCACTGCTAAACTCCGGCAGCTCAGGAAAGCAAAGGACTCTGCTTTCAGGGAGGGGGACCGCAGCGGCTACAAAGCAGCTAAATATCAGTTCAGGAAAGAACTGAAAGCAGCCAAGTCCCGGCACAGAGAACGACTACAGGAGCAGTTTGGTAACAACGATACTGCTTCTGTCTGGAGGGGCCTACGGGAGATCACCAACTACAAACCCAAAGCCCCCCCCTGTGCTGATGACCACAAGCTAGCTGACGATCTGAACTTATTTTTCAGTCGCTTTGATGCTGCCCCTGACACCTCTCCCTCCCCCACCCCCCACTACTCTAACGACCCACCCATCAGCCCTGCCCCCAGCCTAACAATAGCCGCTAAAGAGATTAAACAACTCTTCCTGAGGCTGCACCCCCGCAAAGCTCCTGGCCCGGACCACGTGTCTCCGGCCACTCTGAGACACTGCGCCAGTGAGCTTACTCCTGTGTTCACGGACATTTTCAACTCCTCTCTGCAGTCCTGCCATGTCCCGGCCTGCTTCAAATCCTCCATCATTGTCCCCGTCCCGAAGAAGCCCAGGATCACAGGACTCAATGACTACAGACCTGTAGCACTTACGTCTGTCGTCATGAAGTCATTTGAACGCCTGGTTCTCTCCCATCTCAAGTCCCTCACCTCCCCCCTCCTGGACCCCCTGCAGTTCGCCTACAGAGCCAACAGATCTGTAGACGACGCCATTAACCTGGCCCTCCACCACATCCTACAGCACCTGGACTCCCCGGGGACCTACGCCAGGGTCCTGTTCGTGGACTTCAGCTCTGCCTTCAACACAATCCTGCCATCCCTGCTCCAGGACAAGCTCTCCCAGCTCAACGTGCCCGATTCCACCTGCAGGTGGATCACTGACTTCCTGACGGACAGGAAGCAGCGAGTGCGTCTGGGGAAGAATGTCTCGGACTCTCGGATTATAAATACAGGAGCCCCACAGGGCTGTGTTCTTTCTCCCCTGCTCTTCTCCCTGTACACCAACCACTGCACCTCCAGCCACGACTCCGTGAAGCTGATCAAGTTCGCGGACGACACCACCCTCATTGGACTCATCTCCAACAACGATGAGTCCGCCTACAGGAGGGAGGTGGACCGGCTGGTGTCCTGGTGCAGTGGTAACAACCTGGAGCTGAACGCCCAGAAGACAGTGGAGATGATTGTGGACTTCAGGAAGAGCACTGTCCCCCCGCCCCCACTCTCCGTGATGGACTCCCCCATCACCTCTGTGGAGTCCTTCCGTTTCCTGGGCACCACCATCACCCAGGACCTCAAGTGGGAGCCGACCATCAGCTCCCTCATCAAGAAGGCCCAGCAGAGGATGTACTTCCTGCGGCAGCTCAGGAAAGCCAAGCTGCCTGCACAGATGTTGGTGCAGTTCTACACGGCCATCATCGAGTCCATCCTCACCTCCTCCATCACCGTGTGGTTCGCTGGAGCCACAGTCAGGGACAAACAGAGACTACAGCGCATTGTGCGCTCTGCAGAGGAAGTGATCGGCCGCAGCCTTCCATCGTTGCAGGACCTGTACGTCGCCCGAGCTCGAGGCCGGGCTGGTCGTATCACAGCCGACCCCTCTCACCCTGCACATGGACTATTCCAACCACTCCCCTCAGGCAGGAGGCTGCGGTCCATCAGGACTAGAACCTCCCGCCACAAGAACAGTTTCTTCCCCTCTGCTGTTGGACTCTTGAACACTTCTTAACCTGTCCCCCCGCCCTTTATAAAGTCACTTTACTGCCCATCATACGTCACTTTACTTCACTGTACTGCTGTCACCTTACATTTGTGTGCACCATGTGCACTTGTATATTGTAAATAGTAACTGTAACTCTATTTTAAATTTAAATTTATTCTTTAGAAGTGTTTTTTATTCTTATTTTTATTATCTCTTTTTGACTGTTGCACTGAGCCAAAGCAATTTCCAAGTCTGTGACCTCCCGTTACTTACGTTGGCAATAAAAATGATTCTGATTCTGATTCTGATTCTAACAGGTATCCTGGATGAGACACCCGTAGGCTTAAATGTATTTCTGTTCCGACCTTTGGAAAGGCAGAGAATTGTTTGCACATGATGTCCAGCAGCAGTGGGGGGTATCAAAGGTGAGGCAGCGTGAGGCCCTTTTCTCCAGGGGGAATGCCCCGAAAAAGCTGCAAGTTTCCTACAGAGGGCTTATAACTCGGCCACATGTAACCCACACAGTGTTGGTGTCTAATGCGCATACAATCAACAGTCAAACATACACAAAGATGATCGACCAAATTGGAGGCCAGGGAGGTTATGCTGAGCCGTTGTGAGTGTCCTAGTTTTAATCAAAGGGTGATGTAAATGTGATTGTGGTGGGATCATATACACATGACCCAAAAGCTCAGGACAATGCTCCCTGTGTGGCCTGAACAGAATAATTTACACATCAAGACAATAATTGATTTCTTTCTCATGTCAACTGCTACTGTACTTTTTTATAATGGTTAAGCTAATGGAGGGACCCGGGGTCTGGATGGACTAGAAGTATCACTATTGATTTAGTTAAATGGGCTCATAAAGGTAGTAACTGGAACCTATAGAACTACCCAAGCCCCGCCAACTTCACGGTCCGTCCAGTTACCGCTGGATAATCTTCATTCATTTTTCATGACGGAAAGATAAATGTGTCAACTACTATTTCAGTGTAGGTAGTTATTAACCCCATTAGCCACATTTGATACACAACCATTCTGCAAAAAATGGGTTTCAATAAAAAATGTAGGTCTTGTGGTTATCTATTCACATTAATTGGTCGTCTTTTCTTCTTTTAAATATTCCTTTTTTAACCCCTCTGTTACGCAGGTATCACGCTGTGATTTAGGTGACAGACCCTATATAGAATATATCGGTCCTCCTCAACATAACTCACTTTGTTCAGAAAACCTACCAAAAAAAATCAAAACTTTCTTCCAATTAAAGTATTAAGAGAATGCGTGATATTCATATTGGTTTGATGTTTTCACTGCTTTTGACAAATGCACGCAGTGCTAGATCTCAGGTTTGATTATCTCCGTGACCCGCAACTTCAGATGTTGTGAGGTCCAAGGTGGTTAGAAAAGTGTATGAAGAAACCTGTATATGGTTTGATGGTACCACATGGCGTGGCTGTCTGTGACCCTGCATCAACTAAGTCATGCATTGGTTGGTAATCAAGGTCAGGAGACAATGAGTAAATCTGTACATAATGAGCCGGAGAAATGCCGTTGAGTAGATTAAATACAGGAATATCTTATGTGAAGAGATGTCTTTGTGTGACCATCACAGAGGTTCCGCTGTACTCTAGTACCTCGTTGTACAGAGGTAAGTGAGTACGATACTAATTTAGTTTTGTCTATTTTCTTCCTCCCTTCAAGCAGTTTCTCCCTTTGGCACTATCTTTTTGTTAGTTAGTATATTTAAGAAACATTTATAATATATGTATCTTAAGTGTTTGTATGGATGTGTTTCATGCTGCGGACACCTTCCATTCACCCTACAGCGGCTCAAGGAAAGTATCATTCTATGAATAAATGTCCATGTTTGCCTCTGAAAACCTGGGTGACTTACTCAGGCTCCTCTCTGGCGTAGCGACTTGATCTTTTTGTGAATTCATTTTGGGTGAATTAGATTTCAGACATAGTTATGATGTGAACCCTTGAGAGGTGGGAGTTATGACACAAAAAAATTCATTTAAAAAATTTACAGCGACCCAGATATGCACACTTTATTATTAGTGTTGTTTTCTTTGTGCATTTTATTGTCTATATTTCCCTGAGTGTACCCCTGATGTGGTTTCTTCTATTACTGCTGATTGTTTCTGGTTTTGCACATGACAATCGTTGAGTCAAGCAATTTACAGCGAGTCCAAGCATTTCCTCGGTGCGTGTCCTGTCCTGCTCTGCCCTTTTCAAACCGCTGTCTGCTTATTATTAGGCATCTGAAGATCCAAGCAAAACATTAAGACCTCCTGCTCCCTCTGACACACGACAGATGTCACCGGAGTGGCTCGGTATCATAAAATGTGTCTAAGGTAAATTCTGGCTGCTAACTAATTGTGTCTTTCCTATTACGTGTGTGTGTGTTTGTTTGGGTGTTTGTTTGTGTGTGTGTGTGTGTGGGTGTGTGTGTGTGTGTGTGGCTGTGTGTGTGTGTGTGTGTGTGTTTGTGTGTGTGTGGGTGTGTGTGTGTGTGTGTGTGTGTGTGTGTGTTGTGTGGCGTTGTGTGGTTTTAAATGGGCGGCAGTTTGCGCTGTTTGTCCCCTTATCATTATGATATCTAAAATACAGGAATTGCAATTTCATCTCACTTCATAATTGTATTTGTTTTTTCATGTTGGTTTTATAGTCAGTCAAACACATTTTTAATTTTCAAAATAAATCTACTCCTTTTTTTCATCTCTTTTCTTTGTTAACCCTTTTTTTCTTTTTTTCCCAAAGTTCCTTACCTTTTTTCTACTTTTATAGATTTTGTCTGTTATTTATTTTGTAGTCTCTATCTCTTAATTAGTCCCGGGACCTAACCTTTTGTCTATAATTTCTCATAATTTTCTGATCAAAATGAAACTTTTTAAGAAGTATTTATTTTTATATATAAGTTTAGAAGCATCAAACGCATTCTAACAACAACTGGTTCTAATTAAATAACCCCCAATCAATCCACACATCCTGAGGAGCCAAAGAGGATGGCTTCAACCTACCTTTTCACATCCATTACAGCGTCCTATACTTCTCTGTATACCAATGCAATCAACCTGCTGGAGTTTTGTTAGAAAATGTGCCAAAATCTGTGTGATACATATGGATACTTGTTTTACAGCTTTCGCTTCAATAAATCGCCGAGTTTTATGTGTTTGGGGCGACAGTTAGCTAAGTTGGTAGAGCATTGGCCCATTCAGGCCTGAAAGTCTGTGGGTTCAATCCTCTCATACCTGCTCCACCGTCTCCCACTGTTGACTGCTGTCGTTGTGTCATTGGGCAAGACCCACTTAACCCCCACTTTGCCCAAAGCCTCCCACTGAAAGATCAAGGCTCTGCTACACTCAGAGAGCAGCCGTCCTCCTGTGGACTCACCAACCTGCAGAGGTGTCAGTGAGGGGCTATGGTGTATATGAGTCTTGGTGGCATCTTCCTGACTCTGAAATATGACAAAACTATGACCTGTGTGCTCTTTAAGCACAGTTATATTTGTTTAAATTGCAGAAGGTCCTCAATTTGAGTATTTACATTGGTGCGTTGATGTTTTCCTCAGGTCAGCATTTTTGGGGAGAGTGCGGGGGCCCAGTCGGTGAGCCTCCACCTGATGATGCAGAGCAGTGCACCATTGTTCCAACAGGCGGTGCTCCAGAGCCTTCCATTCTCCATCCCCCTTAAGCCCAGGTTTGAACCAAACACCTGTATGAACCCAACACCTGTATGAACCCAACACCTGTTTGAACCCAACACCTGTTTGAACCCAACACCTGTAAGAACCCAACACCTGTTTGAACCCAACACCTGTAAGAACCCAACACCTGTTTGAACCCAACACCTGTATGAACCCAACACCTGTTTGAACCCAACACCTGTTTGAACCCAACACCTGTAAGAACCCAACACCTGTTTGAACCCAACACCTGTAAGAACCCAACACCTGTTTGAACCCAACACCTGTTTGAACCAAACACCTGTTTGAACCAAACACCTGTTTGAACCCAACACTTGTTTGAACCCAACACCTGTTTGAACCCAACACCTGTTTGAACCCAACACTTGTTTGAACCCAACACCTGTTTGAACCCAACACCTGTTTGAACAATGAGGGGCTGGAACCTGGAGACATGTTACTGGACATAAGACTGTATCAGAAGGTCATTATAGGAGTTGTAGCTAAACAGTTTTAATAAAGAGAAATTATTTCTAAACCTTAGGCGACATAACCTAAAATTCAACTTTTCTTAGCTTTGGTTGTGTTGAATATGTTATGGATATGTTAGAGTTGTTTAACCTTGTAATTTACAGTTTTTAGCTGTAGGTTTGAGTCATTAATATCAGTCTTCTCTCTGTGACACCGAGCCCTCCCTTTCCTGACGCTCAGTCAAAGGAGCAGGGCCCAACAGAGGACTTAAGATGGAGCCGTCGATTCTTTTCTTCTAACATTGTTTTAGCTCAATCTAAACTTTTCAAACCATATATTTAAAAAGAGCCTTGAGGGTTTTAGTGATCATATTGTTGAATTAGTTTAATCTATTAAGGACAATGTGCAGTTGCATTAAAAAGATGACTTCACCAGATTTAGCACCATGCTACTTTCCAGCTGTAGTCCTCGACAGTAGTATTCAACCTCACACAGTGATAGAGTCAGAGTTCTACTCTAGAACTCCATCTCTATGTCACTTTAGATCAGCTCTTTCAGGCAGAAAAGAGAGAAACACTGAAAGCTGATCAGCCAATCAGCCATCCCAATTAGTTATCTTTCTTATAAGTATGCAACATATGACATGTTTCTATAAAGATATAGACAGCATGTGGTAAAAATCTAATAAGATTTTGTCAACAAATCAGACCACAAGACTCTTTCTGTTGAAACAAACAAAATGTATTATTAAAAAAAATAGGTTTCCCGGCTTTCAAGATGGACACACATGATTAACAGAATAGGAGGAAGGTGGCCAAACACCTTCATTTAATGGTAAAAGTCAGAAATTAGATTATGCTTTCGTACATATCTTAGATATCTTTAGTATTTTATTTTGGTTTTTAGTGGAGCTTGAAACGATACTGTTTTTCTGTTTCAGACATGACGCAGTGAAGTTGGGGAAGAGTTTTGCACAGCAGACGAACTGTTCCGTGAGCGACCTGGTGTGTCTGCTGTCTCTGTCTGCAGAGGAAGTGCTGGCAGCCCAGATGAAAACCAGTGAGGCTCAGATCACTCTGCAGGACTCGCATACTGTGTACTCAGATAGGAGGGTCCTCAGATGACATCACACACTCACACAAACAGCAGCAAGAAGAAATGGTACAAAAGGCACACAGCCATAGAGGATGCAATCAAAAGCCGCATTCCCTCTGAGAAGAAACGACCAAAATCCCTGGATCACCCTTTTTTTCCACACTGATCTGCAATGTGTTGAAGCAACTCGGCAGTTAACCCGCCTTGTGACCTAGTCTTCAAGGGTGAACGCTCCTACCAAATATAGCTTGTAATTTAGACAGCAATGAAACACTGCCACTGTGTTTTACTGTGTACGCACGGCAGCGCTCAGACCTACAACCCTCAGGTTTGATATCACCACAATTCAGCAGTCGTGAGTTCAGGTGGGTAGACAAGTGTATGGTCAGTAGTTATACAGCCTTAAAGGAGCAGTATGTAAAAAATCTGGTCGAAATTTGTACTGCAGCCTCTCTCACTCTCCCTGACTCAGGTTGTCAGACAAGCAGACAGATCCAGCAGGGACAATTAGATATGAATAGACAAGAGTTTAGTCAACAACAAATCTATAACCAACACCTTTTTCACAAAGATAGAAATCCTGGTTTTATTCCTTATTTTGTCATTAATGATCTGAGAATCATAACGAGACCTTTTTAGTTTTGCGCCACATGGTACTTTACCAGTGAGATTAGCTCCACGCGGTGAGTTCTGGCGCCCGGATCACAGACTTTCTGATTGGTGAAACAGTGGAGGGCGGGACATCGAAATGAAAACAATAACAAGATTTAGGGACTGGAAAACTATTTTTTAAATTCTAATATCTCGGCGAACTACTGTTATCAGTTAAAGAAGTATTGGAAAGGAGAATGGTTTATTAATGCCTTTTAACAGATTAGGGCCCTTTAATGATGACAGATTAGAGCCCTTTAATGATGACAGATTAGAGCCCTTTAATGATGACAGATTAGGGCCCTTTAATGATGACAGAGTAGGGCCCTTTAATGACGACAGAGCAGGGCCCTTTAATGATGACAGATTAGGGCCCTTTAATGATGACAGATTAGGGCCCTTTAATGATGACAGATTAGGGCCCTTTAATGATGACAGATTAGGGCCCTTTAATAATGACAGATTAGGGCCCTTTAATGATGACAGATTAGGGCCCTTTAATGATGACAGATTAGGGCCCTTTAATGATGACAGATTAGGGCCCTTTAATGATGACAGATTAGGGCCCTTTAATTATGACAGATTAGGGCCCTTTAATTATGACAGATTAGGGCCCTTTAATGATGACAGATTAGGGCCCTTTAATGATGACAGATTAGGGCCCTTTAATGATGACTTGACATGAAAATCTCACATATTGCTACTTTAAAGGCTCCATTATTATGATTTTCAATTTTTCTCTGCTTTAAACATGCTCACAGTGCTATTTGGCCTTCACACACATGCACAGTAGTAGTTTCTTAAATTCATTTCCTCGAGCTTTAGTTAGAGAGCAATCTTTGCACGGAGGAACGCATGGATGATATGTATCCAAGTCCAGGTGTAGCAGGCCAGTTTAACTCTCCGCCAGACTATACCCAGGTATAAAGTAGCCTAGGCCAGATTATAATCCCGGGTATAAACTGGCCTAGGCTAGTTTAACCCCCCATAGGCCAGATTAACCCACTCTTTCATTTTATATAATAACAATAAAATACAAGCAATATTTTACTAATTTCTTTATTTCTTACTAAAAACATTTAGGGAACACATATGATTTATGAAATAAACTATTCTATACTATAAAACAAAGCACTGTAATAAATCAATTAAGCAATACAATATCTAAATGCTGATAAACCATTTTGTATTTACTTAATAAAACACTAACAATGTCCTATTAGTCCTGTACTGTACTGTACTGTACTGTACCATACCACACCATACAGTCTCATCACTCAAACCCAATCACAGCACTAAAGTGCTCAGACTTGTTCTGGAGGTATTTGGCAGGTTCTGATGTCTCCTGTTGCTCTAACACTGAGTACATAAAGATGAACAGATATGGGCATAATACAGAGAGGCTTTCTTTGTCAGACTGGTTCAAAGTTGTTGGAGCCTCTGAGTCTAAGCTCTGAGTCTGAGTCTAAGCTCAGACCGCTTAGACTCGCTTGTGACACTGACATCTTGTGGACAAATGTAATAATTGCAGCTTATGAAAAGTAATACTAAGCCTTGTTCCATCATAAATAAAACTCCAAAACAATTGTGTTGTGGTTTCAATTTCAAGGCCTACTGCAGCCAAACATAGATTAAAAGCAATATGCCCATTTTTAAGGAATTCTTATATCGAATTCATCCATCCATCCATGTTCTTCCCTTTAATCCATTTCTGGGTCAGGGGGGTGGCAGTCAGAGATGCCACCCAAGTCTCATAGCACCAGCCCCTCACTGACCCTCTGCAGGTGGTGAGTCCACAGGAGGACGGCTGCTCTGAGTGTGAGCATAGCCTTGATCTTTCAGTGGGGGCTTTGGGCAAAGTGGGGTTAAGTGTCTTGCCCAAGGACACAACGACAGCAGTCATCAGTGGAAGTCGGTGGAGAAGGTGCAGAGGTGGGAATTGAACCCACGACCTTCTGGCCTTAAAGGCGCTATACCCGTTTCTGCAATGTTTGAATGTTTAGCACCGCCCCCCAACTCGCTCAATGGCTTCTCATTTCCCCTACGCTCTCATAACACAGAGCCACCTAGTTTTATTTGCGATCTGATACATATGCTAACATTAGCTTTAGCGCAACTTCTTGTAAGCTGTGCAACGATCACTGATGAAATGGCACTAAAGCAACGCACTGCTAACACAATATATAAGTAAAAGAATACCACTAGTTTCGCGTCCGAATGTATTAATTTAAAACCTTAGAATATAGTCTAATATTTAATTATAATTTGTTATAGAGCTCCTCAAAGCAGCAGCAGCAATTCTTCCGATCATTTTTCTTGATAACAGAACTCTCAAACTAATAATGACCGAAGCCCCAATGCAACCTCTGTTTGTAATTCAGGTGTGTAAAATACTAACATTACTCTGCAAGTACAAAACGCTTTCAGCACCTGTCACTATACACTTGTCTGTGTAGAGAAGCCAACGGAGCTAGCGGAGCTAGCCACGCTCAATAAACAACTACATATCTATAAATCAACACCATTAAACGTCAATCGGACAATACAGTATACATAGACATCCTTAACACACATGCACGGATGATTTCAGAATTTGCTGTTAACGTTTTCATGACAAAAATACTGTTTCAATGTGACAAAAAGCGATTGCGAAAAACCCGGAAGTTACCATGAAACAGCTAGCTAGCTTAGCTGTTACCTGCCTAGCACGTCCCGGTGAAACCTTTGGGAGCTAACTATTTTATTTGCAGTCATTAAATACATTTCGAATTACAAGGGTTGTCTAATATTTGTTCAAATTTTTTTATTCAATTATTTTGTTCATCCTTTTTTATTTTAGAATTATATTCGAATTTTGAAGTCCTGGTGTTAAGCAGCGCTGTAGAGACTAGAGGACACAGGCTGTAGAGACTAGAGGACACAGGCTGTGGAGACTAGAGGACACAGGCTGTAGAGACTAGAGGACACAGGCTGTAGAGACTAGAGGACACAGGCTGTAGAGGCTAGAGGACACAGGCTGTAGAGACTAGAGGACACAGGCTGTAGAGACTAGAGGACACAGGCTGTAGAGACTAGAGGACACAGGCTGTAGAGACTAGAGGACACAGGCTGTAGAGACTAGAGGACACAGGCTGTAGAGACTAGAGGACACAGACTGTAGAGACTAGAGGACACAGGCTGTAGAGACTAGAGGACACAGACTGTAGAGACTAGAGGACACAGGCTGTAGAGACTAGAGGACGCAGGCTGTAGAGACTAGAGGACACAGGCTGTAGAGGCTAGAGGACACAGGCTGTAGAGACTAGAGGACGCAGGCTGTAGAGACTAGAGGACGCAGACTGTAGAGGCTAGAGGACACAGGCTGTAGAGACCTAGAGGACACAGACTGTAGAGACTAGAGGACACAGACTGTAGAGACTAGAGGACACAGGCTGTAGAGACTAGAGGACACAGGCTGTAGAGACTAGAGGACACAGGCTGTAGAGACTAGAGGACACAGGCTGTAGAGGCTAGAGGACACAGGCTGTAGAGGCTAGAGGACACAGGCTGTAGAGACTAGAGGACACAGGCTGTAGAGACTAGAGGACACAGGCTGTAGAGACTAGAGGACACAGGCTGTAGAGGCTAGAGGACGCAGGCTGTAGAGACTAGAGGACACAGGCTGTAGAGACTAGAGGACACAGGCTGTAGAGACTAGAGGACACAGGCTGTAGAGACTAGAGGACACAGGCTGTAGAGACTAGAGGACACAGGCTGTAGAGGCTAGAGGACGCAGGCTGTAGAGACTAGAGGACACAGGCTGTAGAGGCTAGAGGACACAGGCTGTAGAGACTAGAGGACGCAGGCTGTAGAGACTAGAGGACACAGGCTGTAGAGGCTAGAGGACACAGGCTGTAGAGACTAGAGGACACAGGCTGTAGAGACTAGAGGACACAGGCTGTAGAGACTAGAGGACACAGGCTGTAGAGGCTAGAGGACGCAGGCTGTAGAGACTAGAGGACACAGGCTGTAGAGGCTAGAGGACACAGGCTGTAGAGACTAGAGGACACAGGCTGTAGAGGCTAGAGGACACAGGCTGTAGAGACTAGAGGACACAGGCTGTAGAGACTAGAGGACACAGGCTGTAGAGACTAGAGGACACAGGCTGTAGAGACTAGAGGACACAGGCTGTAGAGACTAGAGGACGCAGGTTGTAGAGACTAGAGGACACAGGCTGTAGAGACTAGAGGACACAGACTGTAGAGGCTAGAGGACACAGGCTGTAGAGGCTAGAGGACACAGGCTGTAGAGACTAGAGGACACAGGCTGTAGAGGCTAGAGGACACAGGCTGTAGAGACTAGAGGACACAGGCTGTAGAGACTAGAGGACACAGGCTGT